GCAAAAACCTTTTGAGATATTTCGTGGGTTCGGGGGGTAGATTATGAAAAGGGAAGGTATTAGCACCCTTTTCATCCATGGTTATCCATGGGCTCTTAGTTACTTGGCTTTTTAGATCACTTGCCTTGTTTTTCGATTGCTTTGAAAATAGTGCGTGTGTGGGTTGTTTTGAAAAATGTTTTGGAAAAAGATGCCTTGTCTTAGGCCAACCTTGTAATAATTCTTTACTCGAATGTTTTACAAAGGTGCACATCTTTTCGAAAAGATGTTTCAAAAGTTTGAAAAGTTTGATTTTTGAAAGTGTCGTGGATTGTGGTTTTTGAAAAGAAGGCAAGTGTTTTTGCAAGTTTGATCTCAAGTAACTAAGAGTTTTGTCTACCCTATTGTACTCAAAGGTTTTTTGTCATGTTTTAACCCCTTTTAACAATTTTGTTCCACCATTGAAATTGGTGGACAATCTTGCGTTTAGGAAGTTTATTCGGGACGGGCGTGGGTCATCGTATGGACCACGAATGCAATGGTGCCAAGTGTCTTTGGCAATTTGCTTGAAGGGACTTGATCATTTTGATAGGCGACTTTCGAAAGCGTCATCGAGGGACTTATGATCATTTGATTTTGTTTTGCCAAAGACATTCGACGTGCAAGCATGGCCCACTTTGGAAGGCATCATGTGGGATTACCCTAGAGGGTGCAAGTGTGATTGTGTATTGATTATATGCATTTGTTTTGTATTAGGTTATCTAGCGTTTGATTTTATGTACATACAAACCCTAAGTCTAACCATGGTATAATTGGAAAGCTGTAAATTGCGGAATGTAAATCTACGCTATTACAAAATAATGTCCGGGAGTGGGGGTATAAATGTACAAGGGGATGAGACTTATAGTACCCAATAATTTACAACCAAATCGAATGTCGCGATCAAATGAATATCAAATATACAGATATAAGATAAAGTGTGTATAGGGAAATGTGTATGTATTTGTGTACAAGTGTATATGTATGTGTAAGTGTAAATATGTACAAGTGCGAATTATGAAATTGAGTCGCGTTAGGGTTTTGACCTAGATATACGTTTTTAAATGAATTTTGATTTTTGTATGTTTATGGACAAATGAAGGGTTTTGATTAAGTGTTAAGTTTTAATTAAAGAAGTATTTTCGTCAAAATGTTTGTGAGTTTAATATTTAGAGAAAAAACGTATTTAAATGGTTATGTATAAAGAATGTTAATTAAAAAAGTTTAATTTTAATTATGTATAATATGTACAAATGTATTTCAAAAAATGTTTTTTTTTAAGTCTAATTTGTGTATAAAAAGTATCTTGATTAAGAAAAAGTATTTTCAGATTTAATTTGTATAATATGTATAAAACTAATTTTTTAAAGTAATATATGTATGAAATATCTATCTAAAAATGTCTTTATTTTATAATAAAAAGTATTTTTAATTAAGATAATAATAAAAAAAAGAGCAAACATTGTTTTGTAAAAATAAGAAAAAGATTAATGTTTTATATGTATATAAAAAAGGAAAGTATGTATAAAAATGAGATTAATGTTAATGTTGTTTAAAAAAAGAAGAAAGGCATTCTGATGGGCTTTTGAGGTGAATTAGGAAACGGGTCAGATCAAGCCCATGGTTTTTGAAACAGAATTAGGGTTAGGTCATTTGGTTCAGAATGAAAACGAGGGTTTGTGAGGTTACGACGGCGCCGTATTCGTCTTCTTCGATTAGCAGTTTCTGAGCATCTTTGCCCGAGCCACCACGCTACCTTCGTTTCCCCTTCCCTCCAGCGACACTGTTGAGGCAGTAGAACTTGGTAATCGCTTTGATTTGTCTTGTTTTAGTACGTTTTGTGATCTTTTGCGTATTTGATTTACTGCTTGGAGTTTGACCTCTCATGTTGTGTTTATTGATTTTTTATTGGAGGTGCATTAGGAGGGAAAAGAAGTGTCATACCTCTACTGGAAAAGGGAAGGAAGGAGACGAGGACGCTAAGGAGGCTTTGATGGCGAAGATTCAGTGATGAAGACGCTGGCTTGCTTCTTGATGCCTTCCTGGTAACTTCGTTCTTTTACCTTTTTTGCTTAGGTTTTTGATGATGATATTCACTGAGAAAACCCTAATGTATCGCTTCTTTACCTCTTCTTCTTCCACTGTGTATTTGCTTGAGGGTTTAGGACATTGCTGCCTTGCCTGTGATGAAGCTTTGCTTCTGAGGCTCTTTGACGCTTTTGAATTGTTGCCTTGGGATGATTTGCTTGTGTGCTTGCCCTTTGAATATCTTTGAACAGTTATTGCCTTGAAATATTGTTATGTCCCTGACTTGCTTCTTTCTCTCGTTGCCCTGTGATGTTTTTGCCTTCAGCTTGCCCTATGATGTGTTTCACTGAGGGCTCGTGGGTTGCCTCACCTGTTTGCCTTGAACTCTTATGCTTGTGAACTTGTTGACAGTATGATGTCTTGAGATTAGGCAATGGACATGGTTATTCTGGCTATGGTGATGCTGGTAGTGTGTTGATGAAGTTTGATGGTTATGGCATGGCGTTATGTTTTTCTGGTTTTGGTTATCAGTTTTGAAAAAGTATTTGGTAACTTGTGAGGTTTGTATTCTTGGTATGTGTTTGGATGATGCAGGCTTATGGGATATTGGTGATTCTGATTTTTTTTGGTTAAGGCATTAGCAGGTCATGTGTTTCAGTTGTGCTTGGCCAAGTTTGAGGGGTTATGTTTCCTTAATGTAGGTGAAAATGGTTTGGGTTAGACAGACTTGAGATGTTATGCTGGTTCAGTTTTTGTATATCAGGTTTTGTATTGGCTAGTGGTGTATATATCTCTTCTCCCCTCTGAACTGATATCCTTCTGTGTTGTATATTTGCTCCTTTTCTCTCCTCTATTGTCTGCTGAATTAAGCTTGTGGACTTGTAGATTTTGTGTATCTCTTTTCTGTGACTCTACTGTCTTCTGCTATTGGACTGTCTTGCTGCTGAACTGCTATATCTCTGCTATGCTGCTTTATCTCTGCTATGCTGCTTTATCTCCTTTACTTCTCTATTGTCTGCTGTGAACTGTCTATATCCTGACCTGCTGAACCGTGCCTTGGCTTTATCTCTCTTTTTATCTCTCTTAAAGTACAGATTAAGAATTTTATATGATATTACTGTGCTTGCTTCTGAAGGGGCTGACTAGGAGATGATGAAAAAGATTGTTTAGCTTGCATAATACATCTTGCATCCCCTTTTTGACAGTTTGGATAGATTTTGCATTTTGACATCTTTTCCTCAAATCTTCTTTGACAGCTTTATGCTTTTATTGATTTTCTTTGAGTGGACTTTGTTTTGGATTTGAAAGTTTGGATTGAACTTTTTCAGTTTAGATTGGATTTTGAATCTTGAACTTCTATGCAGCTTGCAATTTCATAACTTATGCATTTTTGACATTTGCATTTCATGAGATAAAATAAACTTCCCTCTCTGTGAACCGGGAGAAATCCCGTGATTTGCAGAGAGGGCAACTGATCCCAGTCAGCGGCCCCTAATGATGAGCATTTTTATCTGTCTTTTAATTAAACGCTTTCTGACTTTTCTTATTCTTTTCGCAGATGAAAAATGGAATACCGGAGCGGAGTGAAGAATGAAGAGTATTTAGAAAATATGATATTTTTTCATTCTATTGTAATATTTAAATTAAATGTAAATTATTGTTTGTAATAAACAACAATTTGTAAATAATTTAAGTATCAATAAAAATTCAAATTATCCGATTAATTCTAATTTCTTTATTGCTTATTTATTTATTTAAAATTCTTAGAATTAAACAAATTGAAAAATAAATTCAATCATTTAATTTCAGAATAATAAATAACTTAAATAAAACAACATTGACCAATTAAGTCCGTCTAATCCACAATCCAAAGCAAAGCAGCAATTAACCCAGATAGGCTGATCAAACACATGAACACTGTGAATTCCAAAAACTGCATCCTGCATCTGACTGGCCCAATCAAAATGTACTGAATTCAAACCACTGTCTCTTTTGTTGATTAAACCAAGATAACGCGACTTTTAATCCGAATCTTGAAATAAACCGCAAAGCGCTGTTGAATTCAAATTCTTCTGAGAATATGCCCATAAAACCCTAATTCCCGATTAAATGCCAAATCACGCTCGCTTGATCAAAATTGAACCAAAAATCAATCAAACCCTAAGCCCACTGTATGAAACAATTCAGAGTTCTGAAAATCAGTAAAAACCCTAGTTTTGCTTGACTGTCAAGAAAAGCCCGTTTGTACGATTCTTGAGCCAGTTTGAGAAGTCAGGAAATGTTTGAAGCTGAGATTTCTTTGTGAAAAAGCGCGAGGGCAAATTTTGGGGTACAACAGGTACCATCAAAGATCAAGATTTTTGGATGGCGTCAGCTATTGGATAGGCTCCCTTCAAGAAAGAAATTACTCAAAAGAGGTATTATAGCACAAATTGATGAAGCTGAGTGTGTTTTTAGTCAACAAAATATGGAAGATTTAGAACACTTAATGATGCATTGTCCAAAGTTGAAACCACTATGACATAAGATTGAAATATGGTTGGATGTCATTCTCTCTGTACAACCAGACTGTTGTAGGTTCTTGTTGAAAGTTGTTGATGTGTTGAAGGGGAAGCTGCCAGGTAGCAGGGTGGGAGTTGTGTGGCTGACGGTTTGTTGGAGCATATGGAAGCAAAGAAATGAAATTGTTTTTAATGGAGCTAAATGCAATATTGATAGACTATTTTTTAACACTTTATGGTTTTCATGGTGGTGGTTAGCCACAATCTCTAAAGACATAATTATGTGCAACTTTTACGAGTGGTTCAAAAATCCTGCTATATGTTGCTGATTATTTTGTTGTACTAATTTTTGGTTGTGGTATTGTTTGTTTCTTGTAAGAGTTAGAGTACCCCTATTACTCATTTTCCTTTAATACAAGAGTTGCTTACCAAAAAAATATCCTTTAGCAAATATCACAATATCATCATTTTGATAAAGGTACGCCATTTGAAAATCGTCATAAAAGGAATCCATTTGAGAGTTCCGAGAAGTATAATCTTAAATAATTCAGTCCAAGACTCTTGAACTGCATAGTCCTTCATCTGCCATGAAACAAACTCCTTTTCTTTAGAAATGTAGGTAAAACAAAGACTTTCCATCAAAAGTTTAAGAACGGGCCGAAGAATTGTTCGCTCGACAAAACCTTGAGGCATCAACAACATCTTTGTATGTCTCGGTTGAAAGATCAAGCGAAATAATCACAAATTGTTCAACATCTAGAATATACTTGTCGTTGTAAAAAGAATGAAAATACTTGTGAGCCAACGAGTTAAGAGTGCCACTCGCATGCAAACCCTTAAAATTAACCCAATTAAGAGGAATCACTGGAAAACTTTGAATATTTCTCCAAGAATTACCACCCAACGTAAAAACTTTAACCACACTCTTCGCTGCGCATTGTTCTCTACTTGAACATGAAACGCAACAACCTTGTAAGTTTTTGTTGAATCATCAAATCCAAACACAAATCTAAAAGATTTAAAATGACCAAAGCTCTGATGTATAACACTTATATGAATAAAGGACCCTAATTTTGTAGATATTTTTCTTGTAGAAGTTTAGCCAAAATCTTGTACGTACAACCTACAAGACATATGGGCCTAAACTCCGATAACGTGACACTTTTCAGAATAAGCGTCAAAAAAGATGTCGTACACGCCTTGACTAGTTTACCTCTAGAATGGAAATCATTAACAACACCAATCACATCCGATTTAACAAAGTCCCAGCCCCACTTTATGAACTCGAATAAAAAACCATCTGAGCCTGCACTTTTATTATTGTCACAGCTCCACACCGCCTCCTTGATCTCCTCCTCAAAAAAATGCTCTTCCAATCTACTTCTATCTTGCTCATTCAGGTTTCTAAAAGTCAGACCTTCAGGCACAGCCCTATGAAAATTGGCTTCCTTAAAAAAATCTTGAAAATGATGCTTCACTGCCTCTTTGACACCCTCCACAGTACCAGAATTACTTGCCACAGAACTTATAAAATTTCTCCTATATCTCTCCTTTACTGCACTATGAAAATATCTAGTATTACGATCCCCCTCCAAGAGCCAAACTTGCCTCGATTTCTGATAAAGCATACTTTCCTTCAAATCCAAAATTTTCCACATCTCATCCACAGCCTTAGCTCTACTTTCAACCAAAGATTCCACCGATCCACCAAAATTATCGACTAACAGGTTATCCATAACATTAACTTCCGAAACGCCCTCCTCAATATTTAGATCAATCCACCCGAATACTCCTTTGTTACACCATCTCAACCTATTCTTCAAGTTTTTAAGCTTCTATAAGAATCTAAAGTCCCCTCTTCCTTCAACATTAAACTTTAGCCATTCCTTTTCAGAAAACACATAGAACTCCTTGTGCTTCAACCAACAGTAGTTGAATTTAAAAGATTTAGGGCCCCAATCCGAGCCACAACACTTCAACCAAATCGGACAGCGATCCGAAATATCTCTTCTCCCTACCCATTGTCCTGTAATCTTACAATCATTCACCATCTTTTCCGACAACAAAAGCCTATCAATTCTGCTCATTGCCAAACCATTACCACTGAACCAAGTAAATTTCGATCCCACTGAAGGAGCATCGATTAATTCCATATCTTCAATAAAACGAATGAAGTCATCCATCTCACTAGTTCTATTATTCATCCCCACCCCTATTCTTTCTTCTAAGTGAGAGACTGAATTAAAATCTCCGCCCAGACACCACTCCTCGTTCATCCCCCGAATCCTCCTTCTGACCAAATTATTCCACAATAACCCGCCTTCGCACCCTGTTGCAAGAAGCGTAAACATTCACCAAGTTATAGATAAATCCCTTCCATCATGCATTTAAGCCTACAAAACAAGCCTCATCAAAAGCTAAATAGGCTTGAAATTCTATGAGAATCTGTTCTTGGCCCAAACCCATCCACTATTCTTAACCCTTTTGAGTGGGCCCCTTCAACCAACACATCTTTACATCCTCTCTCTCCTTTACTTTACATAACTTTCCGCCTTCCAAAGTCTCCCTACTCTTATCTCCTTTACTGTTATAGTTAACCTTAGTCCACCCTTCCTTAACTTCATGTTTGCTTGGTAACTCCATTAAAAAATCTAGAGATTCTAATTTATATTATTAACTTGTTAATCATAGAAATAAAAACCCAGTGAAGTAAATATAATATTGTTGGTTTGAACGAGAAATAATAAAGTACTGTGAAGAGAGAGACTGAGGGGAGACTTGCAAGATATTGGTCCTTTTCATTATATACTTTGGTAGGAGAGAGATGTAGGAACAAATACTTTGTTTTGCTATTTTTCCGCAACTGAATGAATCATACTAGTACTTGTTTTTATTAATTTGATCATATATTTATTAAATAAGTATTTTATTTATTAACATTATTATCAAATAAAAAGTGAATAACACATGTTGGTTATTTTTTCTATTATTTTATTCGTTAAGAATTTCAATTATAATAAGTTTATTTTATGATTTAGTATTGATATATATTATTAATCATTTAGTTCTGAAAAATATTATAAACACGACTTTTAGTTGATTTTTAAGAATTTATATAATTTGTACTGAAATTTAAATATTTTTTTAAATCTATTAGTTTGAAATTAAAATGAATCATTTTAAATTCTTATTATAAAGAGTTAAGTATCTTTTCTTGTATTATGTCATATTATTAAATATAATTTTTTCATCAAATTTATGAAATTGTTTTAAATAAATTTAGAAAAAAATTGTAATTAATTGATTGAATCAATTTTAGTAGGACTAAAGAACTAAAATCTTTTTAAAATAAAAGGCAAATTCTTAACTTCTTTTATAGAAGCAATTGAAAAAATATAATTGAAATAAAATCTTTTTATAGAAGCAATCTAATAGTACCGAAATATTTTATTTATTTATAGATTTTATGATGTGAATTGTTTGAATAAAATTTGAAAATATTTATTTTCATCATTAAAATTAATTTTAATTTTTAAAAATTATATAAATTAAAATTAAAACAAAATTAATTTTTAGTTTTTTTAATTAAATACGATTATAATTATCCCTCTTTTAATCAATATTTCATTTGAACACTTTATCATGATGTAAATGGTCTTGATAAAAAGTGTGTTTTGTTGACTTTCTAAAAATGATCTGTAATATATATGAGTTTGTATCTTTTAAATGGTATATTTCTTGAATTTGAGGATAAAAGAGAAGTTATAGGAAATTGTATTCTTTGAAATGAACTTTTGGTCGGGGAAAAAATTGTTTATCTATGAAATAACAACAATTTATTAAATTACAATAATTTTCTTGAAATTTCAAGAATCTTCTTATATTTTCATCAGAAGGAAAAGGAAAAAATCTTCTAACAATAAATAGTTTAGGGAAACGAGGGAAAACAATGTGCTGTATTTAAAAAGACAATATTATATTAAAAAATTATTATTTATTATTTTTAATTTATTTTCCAACACAATCGCAAAATTTTAAAAAAATTGATTTTATAAAAACTAAAATTTTTAAAATCATAACTAAACCTTATCATCTATACACTAATATTAGCAAAATCATAACCAAAATCAAAATCATAACCAAAATCAAAATCATAACTAAAATCAAAATTTTATGATGTGAATTGTAAAATCATAGCTATATCGGAATTGTAAAATCATAGCTGTAAAATCATAAAATTTTAGTTGTGAATTGTAAAATTTTAGTAAAATTTTAGAAACTGTATTAGAATATAAAGAAACAAACGAAGAACAATGATTAAAAAATACATAAATAATGTAGATAATGGTCACGAAAAAATAGAAGATGAATATTAAGCATATCATAGTTATGGAAGTTGAACAAAGGAATAGTAAGATCAGAAGATACAGAGTTGTTATTCGGTGTTAGTGCGTGAGACACTTTTAGTGAAAAGAAAAAAAGAAAAAAATAAAGAAAATAAAAATTTGTATTATAGAATTGTATAAATAGTAATACACAATGACTATTTATATACAATTTTAATTGGTTTTGGGCTAACACAACTTGAATTATATTTAAATATTAAATTTAATCTAATTTAATATTTCAACACACTCTCATAATCCAAGTTGTCAAATATCCTCAAAAATAGTCAATCTGAAATATTCCTAATTTCTTTATCAAATTTAAGAATTTGTCGATCTTCAATCCTTTGGTGAAAATGTTGGCCGACTGTGCTTCACTTGAGCAAGGCTTAACTTCAAGTTCACCTAAATTTATTTTTCCCTCAAGAAGTGAAACCTTGCTTCAATATGTTTACTTCTTCCATGCAGAACTGAATTCTTCGCCAAATTTATGGCTGACTTGTTATCGATTTGCAATACTAGAGGTTTTTTCACTTCGACAGTCATTTCTTCAAATACAGATCTGATCCAAATTGCTTGACATGCAACATAGGATCCTGCTATATATTCAGCTTCACACGATGACAATGCCACCGCAGGTTGCTTCTTCGAACACCATGAGATTGGGAACCAAATACTTGAAAGAAATATTCAACTGTGCTTATTCGATCTTCCTTATCTCCACACCAATCAGCATCTGAAAAACAATTAATTATTGCTTCTTTACCTTCAAAATCTCGTCAAAATAGTATTCCACAATTTATTGAAACCTTCAAATATCTCAGGATTATTTTTGCAACCTTCATATGTGACACTATTGGATCACCCATATATCTGCTTACTAATCTGACTGTGAAACCTATATCAGGTCGACTGTTGCACACACACCTCAGAGATCCCACAATTTTCTTGAACAAAGTTGTAACGACTTTGTCTTTCTCTCCATTCTTCTCCAACTTCACATTTGGTTTGACAGGTGAGGATGCAGGATTTAAATCATCCATTCTGAATCTCTTGAGTATCTACATACTTTCTTTGATGTAGCACCATACCTTGCTTCGACATTTGAAATTCCATGCATAGAAAATAAGACAATTTTCCTAGATCCAACATTTCAAATTCCTTCATCATCGGAACTTCGATAAGTTCTCCAAACTATTTCCAGTTACTAGCAAGTCATCAACATATAAGCAGATGATTGTTATATCTTGTGCTACAACCTGAACATAGACACCATACTCTGATTTGCATTTGACAAATCCCAATTCGACTAAGTAT